GGGTGGGGGATGGCTGTCTCTAAGGCCAAGAAAATGGCAGTTCTGGAATCTCAGACCCTGGCGCCAGCATGGCCCCGGCTCCTGCGGAAATTCTAAGCAGCCCCGCTCTTCAGGGTGGTTGGCTCCGATCACGTGTTGCTCCTTGGGGTCATTCCCTCCCTGTGAAGAAGCGTGTTTGCAGTGAACCCCACACTCCAAGGACAGACTTGCTGTTCAGGCTCTGGTTAAGACGTCTGTCGCCAATCCGTCCTGTTCAACTGGCACTGAGCCTCCCTGATTGTGTGGGGCATGGGCGGATGCTTCAGGGTCACTGAGAGGAGGAAGATACCATCCCTGCCCCAGAGGAGTTTCGAATTCCCCAGGAGGCAGACTAGACCAGCCTAGGAGTCTCTCAGAACCAAGCCTGATGCCTGGCTTTGCTGCTCCCTGGCCCCTCTGGCTGTGTGACCTTGGGCTCCTCACTTAAACTCTCTGAGTTGGAATTTTCTTATGTGCGTGATGGGGAACATCATGAGCCGGCCTCTCTGGGTTCTTGTGAGAATGAGTAAGTGCTGGGTAAGCCTGGGACGGAGGGAGCACTCAGTAAGGAGCACTCCCTTCCTGAGCGATGGCAGTGATGCTGGTGAGGCCTGGTGCTGCGGGGTATCCCGATAGAACTGGGTAGTGTCTGGAGGTGAGCAGGTGACAGGGCTGGCCAGAGAAGGACCAGAGCCTAGAGGTCCCGGAGCCCAGGCCAAGGAGCAGTGGGATGAGAGATTGGCAGGAAAGCATCAGGGACTTTGAGTGACCGCTGCGCAGAGCTGGCCGCCCACTGGTTTCGGGAGGGCAAGGCACGGTCCCGGAGGGATCCAGGACACCCTAGCATTTATGTTCACATCACTGTGTGGCAACTTCACTCCATTTGGCTGCTTCTGTTCATAATTACATTCGAAGTCCAGGTTCCAGACGTGCAGCCACTGATGTGACAGCTTGGTGGCAAGACACTTAAGGCATCCGGTTGAAGGACGGTGCTGAGTGGGGATGGAGCAGGAAGGGGAGTAGGAGGACCCCCGGCTGCCTTCTGGGCACCAGCCGGCCACAAGAACCCTCTGGCTCGGGCCAAGCCCTGTTTCACAGACTGGGACCCAGATCCGAGGAGCAGATGCTTCGGGAACTTACCCCGGGATGGTGAGTCGCAGACCAGGGGCCAGAGATTCAAACCCAGGTCTGCCTGACGCCGATCCCGCACTCCCCTGCGCCCTGCTGCTCTGCGGAGGAGCACAGGGGCCGGTGTCCTCCCTCGGGTCCCTCCGACTCGCAGCTGGGGCTCTCCGCTCATTCCCCAGTCTGTGCCTCCGCCCTGACCAGAAGCCCGCGAGCTTCAGCCCGACAGCCCAGCTCTAGCGGGCCACCCCTCGGCCACAGGTGCTGGCTTTAAACCGGTCCCCGGCCACCGTGCTCCAGCGGCGGGGTGGGGAGCGCCGTGTGAGCCGGGAAGCCTCTGGCACGGCTGTAGCTCTGTGTCTGGGGCTCTCGAGAAGGTCTGCCCTGTGATCCAGCCCCTCTCCTTTGGCTGCCCCGGCTGAAGCAGACACTCGGAGCTTTCGGAATGACAGTGTGTGGATAGAGATGCTCCCCCCAGAGCTGTTCCTCCCTTGAGAGTAAAATACAGGAGGTGGCCAAGGGGCCAAGAGAGGGGGAAGGGGTCGGAAAAGACGCCTCTTCTACTCGACAGTGTGACACGTGCGCCCTGCTTGGTGACGTCAACAGGAGGGTCAGGGGTGGAGGGAGAACGAGATGGTGAGTGAGAGAGGCTGACTGAGTGTCAGGAACGCTTGTTCCAGTGAGGACAGTGATGCCCCGCGTTCCCCACACATCGGCCTCGTCACCATCCAGTCCGGCCATGGTCCCTGGGGGGCTCTCCATCGCCCATCTGATGGGCCCTTCGGGGACTTCCTGTGGCTCCCACCCGGCTCCGCCCCCAGAGGCCTCTGCTTTGCACGAGTTCCAGCTCTGTGGCTGCCTGGAGCATTCCAGGGACATTCCAGAATTTCTGGACTGAGCAAAGGACTTACCGTGCTATTGTCCTGCTGAGAACAAGGTTCAGAAGGCTCAGGTTCCCCGGTGAGAATCCTTTCCAGATGTTTCCACGGCTCAGGGCACAGAGTGCTCACCCCACTGAGCAGGCCGTGGGAGCCTGAGCTTCCCCCGTGCTTGTCTTTCTCAGGGATGAAGGGAGGCTTTGGGGGTGCTGCTCATCCCTGGGGGGCTTCCGCACACCAGCCCAGGGCCACGGTTCCCCATTTCTCACAGGCCATGCATGGCATGCAAAGCCCCTTTGTTCCTTTAACACATAATCAAGCACTGTTTACTGGGAGCTCCCTGTGTGCTCAGAACTTGAAGCCACCTCCCTCCGTGTCTCAGCTGGTTGGGCGACTGCCTTCGGCGCATCTCATGATCCTGGAGACCCCGGACTGCTCCCTGCATTGGGCTCCAGCTCAGCGAGAGTCGACTTCTCCCTCTGACCCTCCCTCCTCTCATGCTCTCTCTCTCTTATTCTCTCAAATAAATAAATAAAAAAACAAGAACTTTAGAAGCTATATCCATCTGCTCAGCCACTCTGCAAAGGTACCCCAAGCCCCGTTTTACCGTCGGGGAAGCTGTGGCGCAGAGATGTGAGGCAGCCTGCCCGGGGTCACAGAGCAGGAAGGAGCCGGGGCCAGGATTAGAGCTGTGAGCCCGGAGCTCAGGCTCTTTCTGCTCCGCTCTGGAGCGGCTACTGGCCAGCCTTGTGCCAAGGGCGTAATGACAGGAGACAGGCCCAGGTCGCAGATATTTGTGGGTGGGAGGGCGAGGCTGTGGGATCACTGGGAAGCAGGGTGCTGTGCTCCACGTACAGGCTGTGGTGTGCGAGTAGAGGGGCCCTGGCCAGGCTGGTGGGCCGGCAGGCTGCAGGAGTGAGGGCGCCCTGTTGGGGGGTGCGGGATGGGCCGGCCCTGGAGACCGTAGAGGCTGTGAGAAGGCCGAGGGGTGAGACAGCAGGCAGGAGGGCAGGCAGGAGGGCAGGCAGGAGGGCGGGTGGGCCCAGCTGGAGCCGGGGTGGATGGGAGCTGGGCTTGGCGGCTTGGGGGAGATCAGCCTCCTGGCTGGGTCACACTCATCCCTGGGTGAACTACAGGTCATATTTTATCTCCAACAGATAAAGTCCCCTGTTTCATGAGTGCTTTTCTTAAATTCAGGGCAAGAATGAATGAGCGAGTGGGTGCGTGAGTGGGAACGTCCGCCGATGTTGTCCCCAGTGCTCTGTGGGAATGTCCCTGCTGTGCTGCAGGGAGACCCGTGACCCCAGGCAGCTTTGTCCAGGCCCCGACCCCATGGCGACTCTCCCATGTTCACAGATGGCGTTGTTGGGGAATGAGGAGGGGGGACAGCTGAGCGGGGGAGGACCCGAGTGGCCAGGGGTGGCAGACCGGGTGGTCTGTCACTCTCCGCCCCGTGCAGCTCAGAGATCCCTGGAAGCCCGGGGAAGCGGTGGCCCTGACTCCGTTCCAGGCGACATAACCCCTCTTCCTTCCGGCCATGTGGAAAGGGCAGCTGCGCGCCGACTGTCCCAGGGTCTTTCCGGAGACGGTCACTCTCGGTGGGCAGTGAGCATGGTGTTCAAGGGCAGCATGTCCCACACTCGGTCTGACCACAGATGTACTTGGGACAGTTGGGAACAGGTTGGCAGGGGGATGTTTCAGGAAGTCATAGCCTCGTGTTAAGCTCAAGAGAGAGAGCCTCCCTTCTGGGGCCCGGCTTTGGAAGAATAATGAGCCCAAACAAAACACCCAAGGCCGACGCGACGGTGCCAAGAAATTCAGCCGAGCCCTACAGGATTTACCCCGCTGGGTGCCGGGAAGCCATCATCAGTAAGAAAACGTGGCGTTTCTTGAAGCCCAGTCTCACTCGTCCCGTCACAGTGCGGCCTCCCACCCAGGCTGTGGGCAGTGCTCTGGCCATGGGAGTCTCCTGGGCAGAGGGCACCTCTGTGCCTGGCTGCTCCTCCCTTGGGGCACACCGAGGCTGTCTCCTTCCCTCGTGGTGTGGGGCTCATCGGGACAGTAGCTGGGGAGAGGCTGAGAGCCTGGCTTGGGACTGGAGGGCCGTCGTCCAGCTGTGAGGGCCTGCGCGGCCAGCTGCTTGACCCACGGGAGCCCTTCTGCTGTCCTGTCTGTGGGCGAGGACGTGGTCTGGGGCAGATCAGGGGCAAGAGCTGCTGGCCGCTGTATGGGGAGGACTGGCGCCTTGCTAGCAAGGGGCGTAGGGAAAGTAAAGGACAAAACACAGCTGTGGCTCCTAGAAGCTGGTCTGGAAACGTTGGCTCTTTCCTTGTCACCTGAGGGGCTTGTGGCTGTGCGGTCTCCATTCCCACTCCTTCCCCCGAGTCTTTGCTTCTGCTGTGCCTCGTCCCCGGTGGCCTGGCGGCTCTCTCCTTGGCGGGGAGCCTTCCTGGGTTGCCATTGCCTTGGTGTCAGCCCTGCTGGGAACCTCCAGGCCGCCCCCATTTCTGGCCCTCTAAGAGTCAGGTTGGGGGTGCCTGGACCCCCTTGCTGCTGGGCTGGACGGCGGCTGGCTCGGGCCTCTGTCAGCCATTCCTGCCATTGTTGTCCTCCTGACCCGTCTGGGCTTTCTTTGTCCGAGTTTCTGGTGCTTGGCTGGAGCAGGGAGCCAGCCCGGGGAGGGGAGCACGGGTCTCCGGGGCTGAGCTGCGGCCCCATCAGATCTGGATCCGGAAGGTAACCGTTCAGGTGTCAGGCCCTTCTAGGAAGGAGCGGCTGTGTGTTCCAGCCCAGGACCCAGTGGGTTTTCTGTTCACATTTGTGGAGCGACTCACGGACGTGTGCAGGCCCGTTCAGACTGGACTGGCCTGTAGTGGGGGCCCAGGGAAGCAGGAGGGGGGCTGCATGTCCGAGGGGGCCTCCTTTGGGCCAGGGCAGAGTCGCCCCCCTGACCAGGCACGCTGCTCTCTCCCCGCACAGCAGCCGCAGACACCCTCATGGAGGCTTGCTGTGCGGACGGACACCGCATGGCCACACAGCACAGGGACTGCTCGCTGCCCTACACCTCGGAATCCAAGGAATGCAGGTACGTGTGCCGACGGCCCCGTTCTACCAGAACGATGTTCCTTTAGCGGAATGCAGCAGCAGGAGGGGGACAGCGTGAGCCAAGATCCCTGGCAGAGCCTGGCACACAGGCCCATGCCGGCCCCGGCCCCGGCTGTGGCAGACCTGGTGGGTCCCCCCCTGCCCCCTTCCTCTGCACTCTCACGTCCCTGTATGGGACTGGACTCCCCTTTCCTGGGATGCCCGGGGCATCTCTCCCCTTCCCCGGGCTGCAGAGCAGGGAGACCCGGCTTTGCTGCTCTCTCTGCTGCCACCGGGCTCTGCGGCCAAGCCAGGCGCCTCCTTACAAAAACAGGTCCTTTGTGGGGTCGGATGCGATCACGTGACTGGCGAGTGAAAAGTGTGGACAGCCTTCAGACCCCAAAAACACAGACGAGCCAATCTGGAGCAGAGAGGTCCCCCAGACGGGCTCATGGATCCGTGGTTCCTCTTCCCTTAAATGGACCCAAGCTCCCGCAAAATTTTGGGAAGAGAAAAGCTTAGAGTGAAGGATGCAGATCTGTAACGTTGACCGTCACCATGAAAGTAATAGCAGCAAGCCTGTGGGAAGCTCGTCGTCTGCGCCATGCCCTGTGGCACGTGACCTCATTCAACCTGTTATTAATCCCTGTTCCCAGATGACGAGCCTGAGCCCCCCAGGCATAGCTGGTAGGTGACAGCGTTAGGACGTGAACCCAGATCTGCTCACCTGGGGAGCAAATGTCGGGGAGGCAACGTTCCCTCCTGGAGCAGCCCCCACTCTCCTGTGCCTCCCGTCCCGGTCTAAGCCGAGCCCCACCCGGGCTGGGGGCAGCTGGGCCGAGAGTTGTCACGGAAAGAATGCGTAGGGCAGGCTTGTTCGCCTCGTCCCGGACTTTTACGTTTTTGTTGGCGGTGAGCATCGTGTGCGGCCTGCCAGCACGGCCAGACGATGTAAATCTCGGTTTAGGGAATTCTTGAGAAGTCCAGAGCATTGTGGACCAAACGAAGGAAGAGGAAACAGGACACTTGGCTGTTGGGATTTCTGGGGCATCTGAGCAGTGAGAGCTGGGAGTTTGGCTCCCGAGTGCAGCCCCGGGCTGGAAACGTCAGAGGGGCCGGGGCGGAGCTGGTGGGCAGCGCCGAGCGTTCTGTCCACAGACTGTGCCCATGAGAAGCAGCCCGGCCCGGCAGCTTCAATGGACTGGGGCTGGGTTGCTGGCTGTGTGATGTGAGCCACCTCGGGGCCCCGGCGTCCCCACGTGGAAAAGGATTATGACAACAGCCCTTCAGGGTTGGGACAGTGACACAGGGCAGGGAGAAAGTCAGCACCACAAAGCCAGATAGGCCCCAGGAGGCCAGCTGGCTCGTCCTGGGGAACTCACGGGCCGGGCTGCACATGTGTCTCAGGCCTCCTGGTGAAGAGTGAGCCGTTGACTTGAACTGGCTCTAGCCGTGTCACTGTCTGTGCCCCTCCAGACCCCTGCATAGCTTCCCCTTTGCTCAGCAAACATTGGGGATTGAACCCCACATAGTCTGCAGAGGTCAGAGGCCGAGTGTGGGCTGTTGGTTCAAAGTGGGGCGTCACTCAAGGTGGGATGGGATAACACAGCAGACGAGCCCTCCTGGGGGCAGTCAGCTCCACTGGGTGGGGAGGGAGCGACCCCAGAGGACCACGGGAGGGATGAGCCCTCTCTGCGCACGCGGGCTCTAGCCCGGGGCATTCAGCTTCCGCCGGAGCCTCTAACATGAGACACATTTGGGGGCCGTCAGGGAACAGCAGCTCTGAGGCTCCCCCGTGCACATATCACCTGCATCCCAACCCGAACCAAGGGCCGACATTTCTTAGTAACTAAATTTAAATTTGCCCAAGACCTCGGGCCACTTTGAGCACCAGGCACGTTCTCAATGAGACAGGGATAAATCATTGAGCAAAACAGACAAAAGCTCTTCTACAGGATACAGGAGATGGAACAGTAAGTTAACTACAGGGTTTGTGAGAAGGTGCTCTGTGCTGTGGGCAAGGAAGAACGAGGACGAGAGGCCAGGTCCGTGCGGTCCTAGCAGGGGCGGGAACGTGTCCTTCCTTGCTCAGGCTGAATCATGTGTCACCGTACAGATAGACCTCATTCTGCTTGGCTCTTCCTCGGTGGGCACCGCATGGGGTTGCTTCTCTCTTCTGGCTGCTGTGAATGATGCTGGCGTGAACGTGCATGAGCAAGGACCTCCTTGAGCCCCCGCCTTCGGTTCTTCTGGGTGTATACCCGCCAGTGGGATCGCTGGACCATTTGCTCGTTGTGTATTTAATTTTTCAAGGAGCTGCCTGACAGCTGCCACAGCATCTGTGACTCCCACCAGCAGTGCCTAACCCTTCCAGTACCCCCCTCACTAACACTGTTTTTGGCCCAGCCAACGTCCTTGAATGCATGGACAGATGCGCCCCTGTCTGGTCGCTGTTCTGTCCAATCCGGTGGAATACCTGTCATCTGTAAATTCACTGAAAGCACAAGTGAAATGTGTAGGATCACGAGCATAGACAGATCCTTCCAGGTGGTTCTGGAAGCAACGGGAAGCCTGGTGCAGAGCTCCGGCCCTGCAGCGTGGAGGCAGGGGACGGTGGGGGCCTGACACCTCTCTGCTTTCAGCCTTTCTAACTGTACACTTCGGGAGCACCTTCCATCCACCGGCTGTGGTGTGTGTGCATGTATGAGAGCACATGTGTGCCTGCGAGTGTGTGTGCAAGCGTGGGCGGCTGCATATGGGCATCTGTGTGTGAACACATGCGAGTGCGTGTGTACATGCAAGTGTGGGGGGGTTGGTGAGGGGGTGGAGTATGTGTGCCTGCAAATGTGTGTGCAGGCACATGCAACTGCATGTGTGCATGTGAGAGCACTGTGCATGCGTGTGTGAGTGAGTGTGTGCAGGCGAGTATGTGTACAAATGACTGGGCGAGTGTGTGTGTGTGAGTCAGTGTGTGCGAGTGAGTGTGTATGCATGCAGGTGTGAATGAGTGTGTGCGTGTAAGTGGGTGGTGGGTGGAGTGAGTGTGGGCATGCGAGTGCGTGTGTGTGCACGTGCGTGTGTGTGTGTGAGGGTGGCAGTAGGTTGGGAAGGGGAGGCACCCAGTGAGGCCAGAGCTCCCCTCTCTGAGGGACTACAGCGCCTCCCCCCAACCCCGCAGGGCCCCGCCCTCCCAGGGCCCTGTCCTCAGCACTCCCCCTCCCCCGCACAGGATGGTCCAGGAGCAGTGTTGTCACAGCCAGCTGGAGGAGCTGCACTGTGCCACGGGCATCAACCTGGCCAACGAGCAGGACAGCTGCGCCACGCCACATGGAGACAACGCCAGCCTCGAGGCTACATTCGTGAAGGTGCGACCCGCCCGCCAGCCGCCCCGTCCCCTGCTGGAGGCCTGGGTGCTCTCCTGCCTCAGCCCCTGCGCAGGCCTCCTCCGAGCAGCAGGGAGGGAGGAGGGCGCTTCTCGGATTCCCCGCCCCCGCAGTTTAATCAGGGAACCCTGGACGACCTGGAGGAGACAGGGACGAAGGGACCCAGGCTGGCCCTGAGGACATCCAGTCCCCGGGCTTCCGGCCGGAATGCAGAGATCAGAGCAGAGGTGACCCAGGCTCTGGGGCCTTCAGAACCCTCTTCACTGTTCCAGGCGGGCGTCCCTACCCCCGTCTGCCAGGAGCAGGAGGCCCTGGAGCTTTCCTGCCCGCCAGGGCGATGTCCATGTGGCCCGGAGCTCACAAGGGTCCCCCACGGGGGCTCTGAGAACACACGACCTCCCAAACTGTCCTAGAAGACAAGACAGAGATTCAGAGAGAGATTCAGAGATTCAGATTCAGGCCACTCCAGAGTGGTCTGGCAGGATGCTTCCAGGACCTGCAGGGGAGGGGTCTGGCGAGGCAGCCCTGGGTCCATCGGGCCCAGGGGGAGGTGAGTGCCGAGTGAGTGATGCCAGGCAGCCTGGGTCTGCGACGGTCCCTTGGGGCCTCTGTCCCTGTGGGGGGTCTGCACCTTCCCATGCCGGTGGAGGAGTTCCTGACTGCTTTCTGGGCCCGAAACCACAAATTAACCAGGTTGTCCCTCCCTCACCACCCACTGCCAGAGAAAAACAAGCCTGAGTGGAAGGAGCTCGGCCGGCCGTTAAGCTGGGCAGCTGGGTTACTGTCGGAGCTGCGTTTCCAGGAAGAAAGTTCTCCCATTCTCTGTTAGGAGGGCCAGGCAGCGATTTCAAGGAGCACGAATTGGAATGGAGTCTGAATTCTGGGTGGGGGGTGGGGGTGGGTTCCTTTCTGGGGATTCTCTCTTCACACTGATTAGGGCAGAGGGAGGTTCCCCATGGAGGAGTTGGGGGTGCAAAGCCCCTTCGCCCACCCTCAGCCTTCCTGGGCCTTCACGGGAGGAGGTTTCTGGCGTGCGGGAGCTGGGTCGGGCGAGGGTGGGAAGGTCTGGTCACGGGGCCCCCGAAGCCAGGAGCCTGGGCGTTAGCGACTGCCTCCCCGGGCAGGGCTGGGGCTCTGCAGACGCCGTCCGCCCATGTCCCCAGACTAGAGAGAAAGGGAGGTGTGAAAAAGACACGGAACATTCTAGCAGGAGCAGGAACTGGCCACTTTGGCCGATGGGTGATCAGTGTTTCCCGGAAGGATTACTTGTGTCCTGGAAGGTGGAGGAGGTAACTGGGCCCCCCCCCACAACTTTTCCTGGCACAGAGGTTGTAGAACCATTGGGATAGAAGACCCACCAGCCCGCAGAGAAACTGAGGTAAAGCCACACCACCTGACCCCTGCTTTGGGCCTTTTGGAAAGTTCTGTGCTTTTTCTTAGGATAGTAAGGACTGAAATAGGGCTCTTCCTGTATCAGCCTGAGTGCTGTCCCCAGGATTCAGGTGTCACTTTTGGGAACACTGGGGTCAAGGTGACAGGCGGTAACTCTGTCCCTCGCTTGATGACCTGTCTCGAGGTCCTCGTGCTTTTTAAATGCACGATTTGCTTCCGCTGCCCAAACCCCCTGCACTCGGGAGGGAAGAGACAAGGGCTTGTTCATTTTTCCGGGCTTGGTAGAGAAATTGTAGACCACACACAAGGAGGGGATGCTTGGGGAGCTCTTGTGTGACCCTCAGAGCGCCCCTGTCATAGCTAATTTCTCCTGGAGGTATGTGAGTGGGGTGGGGCAGGGATGTTGATGGGTATAGTCTGGTGTGGGGGAGTACGTGTTGGACGCAAACCCCTTTAAGGTTCCTTTTAAACCCGGGACCTGTTTGGGGGACAGCATGCCTCAGGCTTAGCATGCTTGAGATGCTAACGGCCAACCTTTAGAAGAGAGAGTAAGTCCCATGTGTCGTTGCTGCGTGGGCGGTGTGGATATGGGATCAGAGAGGCCTGGGGGCGCTCCAGTGCTGGGTGGCTTCTCCACCCTGACTCTCCGCTTGTGTTCACAGAGGTGCTGCCACTGCTGCCTGCTGGGGAGGGCGGCCCAGGCTGCGGGCCAGAGCTGCGAGTACACCCTCATGGTCGGCTACCAGTGTGGGCTGGTGTTCCGGGCATGCTGCGTCAAGGGCCAGGAGACAGCAGACTTTGCCCCCAGCGACATCGGGGACATCCAAGAAGCAGGTAATTCCCCCACCCCCTTTTTTGCCTTCTGGCCAGGGCATTAGTCAGTGCTAGCCAAAGGAACCAAACCAATAGGATGCGGAGAAAAGAGATTTATTTTAAGGAATTGGCTCCCTCGATCGTGGGGGCCAGCAAGTCTGATGTCTGCGGGTTGAGCCAGCAGGCCCGAGAACGGAGGGAGAACTGATGTTGCAGTTTGAGTCCAAAGGCCATCTGCTAGCAGAATTCCTCCTTGCTGCGGGGCTACGCTGAAGGCCTTCATCCGATTAGGCAAGGCCCACCCACATTTCAGAGGGCCATTGGTTTTACTGAAAGTCTATTGATTTAAATGTTAATCTCATCTAAAATAAGGTCAGGAGCGCCTGGGTGGCTCAGCTGGTTAGGTGACTGTCTTCCGCACAGGTCATGATCCTGGAGTCCCAGGATCAAGTTCCTCATTAGGCTCTCTGATCAGCAAGGAGTCTGCTTCTCTGTCTGACCCTCCCCACTCTCATGCTCTCTCTCTCATTCTCTCTCTCAAATAAATAAATAAAATCTTAAAAAAAAAAAGTAATATATGGTCACAGCAAATACAGACTGATGCTTGACCCTGTCTCTGGGTACGGCGACCCCAGCAAGTGAACACATGAAATTACAGGGAGTGGGGCACACGCGTGTGCCGCTGCCTTAACTCAGCACAGACTGATTCTAGGTGTCAGATCAGTTTCGAGTTCGTTACCTGCTCTGAGAGAGCCCTGCCCTGGAGGGGGACTGAAGGCTTGGGAGCCGGAACCTGAGAAATCTGGGTTCATGTCTCTATCCTAACATGTATTTTAAATAAACAGATGTACCAGACCTCTGTTCCCTCATCTGTGAAATGGGTATAATCATAGTCCTGCTTTGTAAGGTTTCTGGGAGGATTATATGGGAGAATGAGTATAGAGTGTTTGGGTAACTCCATGAATGCTGGCCATCGCAATTCTTCCTTGTCCCTCCAACAGCCCTCCAACAGTCAGCATGGTGGCTGACCTTGCTCAAGATCACATGGTCAACACCCAGGGGAGGGAGAACGCTGGCCTTCTGCCCTTCTGCCCTTTTTCTCTCCACCTGGTGCCAATGATGTGGTGACAAGAGGCAGGGAGGGGTACCTTATTTATTTATTTATTTTTAAGATTTTTATTTATTTGACAGATCACAAGTAGGCAGAGAGGCAGGCAGGGAGGGGTACCTTATTAATAAGTGGCTGTGTTCTTTCAACAATTAGATACTTATTCAGCAAACCGGCGAGTGACCCCAAGGACAGCTTCAAGGGAGCTTAGGTGGGTCACGGGCAGGAAGGCCTTAGGAAGGAGGAGTTCACAGAACCGTGCTCCCTAAGTCACGCTGCCTATCACCCTGGCTTCATGACCCCGGTGGCTTCGTTGTCCTGGGTCAAGCAGACCAGCCTCCCTCTGTTTTTGATTTCTCATGGATGCCATGGGGCTGATTTTAGATATCTCAGGCATAAAGAAGGTCTGGAACCGCATTCTGGCTCCCTCCTTGACTTTTGAAACCAGAGATGATATTTTCACTTTAAACAAACCCAAACTATTCGTCCTGGTGGAGATTTTCTCCTGTGTCTCTGGGGAGGATTTTTGTTGATTTATGTCTTGTTTCCATAACCGTCTCTGAGCTTTGCTGCTGCTCCAGATGTCTTATTTCTCTTCTGTCTTTTATCTGCTTCAATTCTTGCCCCAGACTCTCCTCAAAGTCTCTGTGAGGACTCCCTGCCCTTCCTCCTCCCAGACCCAGACCCTTATCACGGGCCTACTGTGTGCTGCCATGGGCCCACACAGAGGCTCCACAGACCGCTGCTGGCCTCTAACAAAATAAGTCTGGGAATCGAGAGGAAGCTTTTAGAAACTTTTATATGCATCTGAGAGTGTAACTTAATACCAGTTTCATCTAAACAGGGGCCTGTATGTCTGTTCTCATAACTTAATTTTTCTGGTAATTCGTTCATATGACATGCTATCAAGGTATGAGCCTGTGATGGGGGAAAGAGCCCTGTCCCTTTACCGCAGAGAGTCTGGGAGGAACTGTGCTGGGATATATATTGGTTCCCCCATTCTACAGATGGGAAGATGGAGGCTGGGGGAGCCCAGGTTTAGGATTCTCTTTCTGGCAGGATTGGCAGTGGCTCTGTGCCAGGCTCGCTGGCTCCCAAGGAACGCCATGGAAGCCTTGATGGCCTCCTTACCCAGGCGAGAACTCCTCACAGTCCTCCTGGCCGACACTCTGCCCTGTGTCTTGGCCTTGACTGAATGCCCCAAGGGAGCCAAGAGTCCCCGAGTTGAATAACCGTAGCAAAGGTGCTCCCGGCCTCCTGACCTGGGAGAGACGATTCACACTCTAAAGGCCTTTTGCTTAGTTCCTGGCCAAGTGAAAGGTTTACTTGGGGGACCCTGACCACATTTTAACAGCCCGAAAAGAGCCTGCCTTGTGCCTAGTGTGTGTAAGTTACATTGTATTGAATTTTAAAGCGGAATTCCTAATACGTTTCTTTTTGATGATGTTTCATTTTTCTGGTGTGAGTGTGCTACACACTCACCGTGGGTGTGTTAGCAGATTTAGAAAGCAGAGGGAAGAGGAAATTGACACAGAGAGAAATTGTGTTTCCATCAGGTCACTTTTCCTTTCCGTGTTTTCTCTGTGTCTCTTGCTTCTCGCACATGCAACAGACACACATGGGTTTACGCTTTCCCGCCCATCGCCGTCACGCCAGCTGCCGACTCGTGCCTGAACTGTGATCGCTGCCATCCTTTCTTGTGGATGAGGCTGCGACTTCCCTGGGTGTGGCTTTTGGGTATTTTTAGGGACCCTTCCTGCCCCTGGCTGTCTTACACAAGCTAAAGGGATGAATTCGTTTCTTCTCTTACCCCAGAATGGCCAGTGGAAAACCACCCCATCAGACTACAGTAGGGGAATCCGCTGGTTGACGTTCCTATTGTGAGTAGGGCCCTGTCTCTGCCAAGGGCTCAGCCCGCAGAGCAGATCTACTCAGACGCCTCGTCTGAATGAGCCCAGCGAGCGCCTGCTGATGGCTACACGGGGCTTTGCGGGTGGGCCGTATATGTGCATTTATTTCCTGGGGCTGCCCTCGCAAAGCTCCATGGACTGGAGGTGGGAGGGGGGAGCTCAAACAACAGGAATGTTCTATCTCGAATGTTCTATCTCCCAGTCTGGAGGCCAGACGCCTCCAATCAAGGTATTGGCATGGCTGCGTCCCCCCGAGGCTCCGGGGGAAAATCTACTCCAAGCAGCTCTCCTGGTTTTTGTCAGCCTCGGGGGCATGGGTGGCCCGTCTCCTCCCTCTATCTTCCTGTCATTTTGCCTCTGCGCACGCCTGTCTCTGTGTCCACTTTCCTCTTTCTAGAAGGACACAGATGTACTGGCCGGGAGCCCACCTTCACCCACCTTAACTCAATCATCTTTGCTAAGACTCTTCTTGAAAGGAAGGTCATGTGCGTGGGTACTGGGGGGTTAGGGCTCAACATCTTCTGGGGCGACACCATTTACCCCATCACGACAAGTTTTTACTGGGCACATTGATTCAGGTTTGGGGGCCGTGGCCCGGTGTAGAGCAGGGCCGCAGCTGTCTTTGCTGAAATAGGCAGGTAACGTGAGTGCCTAACGTCCCTCGGCAATCCCTGAGCTCCCCAAATGGGCATGACTGCCTGATATTTATAAGGAGATAAAGCGGGGCGCCTGGGGGGCTCAGTCGGTGAAGCGTCTGCCTTCGGCTCAGGTCACGATCCTGGGGTCCTGGGGTCGAGTCCCCGCTCAGCAGGAAGCCTGCTTCTCCCTCTGTCTCTGCCTGCCACTCCCCTGCTTGTGTTTTCTCTCTCCCTAGGTCAAATAAATAAATAAAATCTTTTTTTTTTTAAAAGAATATGTTAAAAAAAAAAAAAAAGAGATAAAGTATTTAGGGTTTCTTTCTGCTGAGACATGCCGGACACTGCGTTTGCCTCTCTTTCCCCTCAGCCAAGATTTCGGAGATGGAGGGGGAGCAGGAGGACCCATACCTGAACGACCGCTGCAGAGGTGAGGCCGCCTCCCGGAGGAGAGTCAGGGCTGATCCCATTGGGAGTTGGACCTTGGGTTTTGCTCAGGTTCACATGGGATGAGCCCTCAGTCTGTGAGGCAACCCAGGTCCTTCTGCCCTCCCTGCACGGCTGGGCTCCCCCTTCTCCTTCCCCTCGAGCTGGGGCCTGGTGGGCTCACAGGGAGGGGCCCTACGGGAAGCGGGCGTCAGAAGCCCCCCCACCCCGCAGCACCCACCTAAACACAGGCTCTGTGAGGGGAGAACACCTGGGGCGGGGGGAGTGTTACTTGACTTTGGGTCCTGGAGCCCCAGCGGGTGCCGTGGACAGTATCCATTTGTCTCGCAGGGAGACATTTGCAAATTTAAAGAGAGTGGGGCCTGGCAGGTTTGTTTTTCATGTGATAAAAGGTCATTTCTCTCTCATGGAACATTCCCACATGTCTAGACTGGCGAGTCTGCTCCCCAGTTCCGTTCGGAGGCTGCCCTGTGGTGGGCGCGTTAACGGGGAGCAAGCGCAATCACAAAACGATGGGGTCCGCGCTCGGTGACACATCAGCACAGGGGTGGGGGGGCGGGGGGGGACGATGGGGATGCTGGAGGAGGGCGGAGAGCCCAGAAAGCTCCCTGGGGGGTGTGGGAGGCCTTCCTGGGGGAGGACGTAGCCAGTGGCTTAGCCAGGAAGGTGCCCCTGGGACAGAGATTTGGGCAGTAGGAGTGGAGACAGGCAGACGCAGACTTGGGCTGGCAGGCTATGGCGCGGGGGAGGGCTGCGGTGGGGGACAGAGGAAGAGGCTGGGGAAGCGGGCAGAAGCCTGCAGGCCCGGCAGTTGTCAGAACTCTGGCCACATCTTTAGCTGGTAGAGTTTTGTCCCGGGGAGATTTGCTCTTTGAGCATCACCCAGCTGCCTGCGGGTTTGTGGTTGGTGGGGGATGGGGGGTACCAGGGACACTGAGGGACCCTCACAGGATGGCCCCCTCCATGTCTGTGCTGGACGGCAGCTTCTGGCTTCTCTGCCTAGCCCCACTCCAGCCTGCAGGGCTGGCCCGGCGTGCTGCCATTTTGTCAGACCAGGGCTGGGACCTGAAGCAGCAGCCGCAAGGTTGTCCCGGGCCAGATCCTGGGGGGTCTCCCAAGGAAAGGGAGGGGCGCTAGGCTGGAGAGGGAGGCCTCCAAAATGGGGAGCCCACCTTTGTGTGTCGTCCACCCCAAGGGCATTTGCTCTGGCCCAGGCCAAACAGAACTGGAAACCCAGGGGTGTCTGGTGTGTGTTGGGCTCGTGGCTCACATCTGCTCTGATCTGTTCTGATTCCAGGCGGTGGGCCCTGCAAGCAACAGTGCCGAGACACAGGGGAGGAGGTGGTCTGCTCCTGCTTTGTGGGCTACCAGCTGCTGCCTGACAGTGTGTCCTGTGAAGGTAACCGTCGCCATGCTTCCGCGGCAGGGCTCGCAGCCGCACTGGGAGCCTCTGCCTCGACTTGACATCTGGGCAGGGCCCACCCTGCACACCTCGGGCCCCCACCCACCCCATAGGTGAAAACCAGCGTACCCTGGAGTCCACGGTGCACGGTGCCAAGCACCGTGTTGGGGAAGAGGGCTGGCTTTGGGGGTCTGAGCAGGCTCTGAATCCAGAATCTGCCAAGTAGCCCTGGGCACGTCCCTCGGCCTCTCTTGGCCCCTCCTGTCTGAGGCGAGGCAGATGGAGGAAGGGGATCGCCTCTCGTAGAGGCCTTAAGGATCACGTGCCTCGGGTTCAGGGCCTGGCACTTGCTTCGCGGGTGCTCAGAGAGAGCAGCAGATCTGAAACGGAGCAGGGGAAAGACACCACTGCTTTTGATTGGGGGGTGGTGCCCAGGACCCCACATAGGCACGTGCGTGGGGGACTGGACAGAGGCTGGGAACCAATTGCGCCACGCCTTCTGGAACATTCTTTGCGACAAAGCACGTGGGGGCCCGTGGTTCTGGCTGGTTACTCCTGCTTTGCCTCCATCTCTCCTAGACATCAACGAGTGTGTCATGGGCGAGCACAACTGCAGGCTCGGAGAGTCCTGTGTTAACACCGCGGGCTCCTTCCGCTGCCAGAGAGACAGTAGCTGTGGGACTGGCTACGAGCTCACGGAGGACAATGACTGCAAAGGTATGACATGCTCTGGGTTCGCACACCTCAGCTCCCCGCGACTAGATAGGATGTGCTGGTAGAGGCGGCACCGGGCTCCGGGGGGGCTCTGGGTTCCCTGGTGCCGTGTGTCGCACCCCGTGACTGTCCGGGGACGCTGCCCAGTTAAGCTGTTGGTAAAGATTTACCTTCTCTACTGTAACGTTGAGTTAATGACAGTGGTGAGTTTGCATTTCTGGAAGGGCTTAGGGCAGAATCATTTCAGAACAAGTCCCGAGGTGAATTTCAGGTGCTTCCATGTGCTTTCTCCCCGCATCGCCCCCCCAAAAAAATTATTTTTGAAAACAGCTGCCTTCCCTCCGACTCCAGGCTTCCTCAGAGTTCAAACATAATCTCTTCCACTGCATGAAAACATGACATTTCTGGCTGCCGGCCTCTCCCTGCCAAGCCGTAGATGTCATTTGGCAGATAAGGCTTTGCTGAGGATCTCTGAGGACATAGTTTTCTTCTGAGGCTTTCCAGCCCTCCAGAATGACGAAACCACTTGTGTGAAAATTTTGGTCGAGTTACAAGAGTAACTCAAAGGCCAAGCACACCCTCCTAACGTCTGAGGGTCTTTGGGCAAGCTCGCTCCTCTCCACCCTTGCCGGGCGGTTTGGGCCCTGAGAACCCAGGGGCCCAGCCAGCTGAGTATACGCTTTGGAACACTTGACAGCCATGAACTTCAGGGGAAGGGCAGCCAACGTGTCCAATCATGACAATCACCATTGCTCCTATTTGGAATATCGTGACGATTTCAGAATGAATAACTTTAGAGGGACAGTGTTTATTGCCACGAAGATCATTGCTTATTATCTAAACTAAACATGCACTTAGCCTCAAGTGAAGGAAAAAAAAATCCCACATACCGCCAGGAAAATGCCTGCGATATTTATCATATAACAGAAAGTTTGCCTCATAAGAGCCTTGGGGAAAAAAGAGAGAGAGAGAGCGAGTTTTCAATCTTAAGCGATGCGAGCACTATTTGGCCAACCAAGGCTCTTTTTTAATGTGATTTCTCTATGGGAACGTTTTGGGTTGTAGTCTGAGTAATGAGCATATAAAAAAAAGCGTTCTTGTGATTTTTAAATGTTGTGAGATGTTTCTGACAGGACTCTTGCTAACAATTTCCTTTTTTTATGATGTACCAGATATTGACGAGTGTGAGAGTGGTATTCATAACTGCCTCCCCGATTTTATCTGTCAGAATACTCTGGGATCCTTCCGCTGCAGACCCAAGCTACAGTGCAAGAATGGTTTTATACAGGATGCTCTAGGCAACTGTATTGGTAAGATGCTGTCACCAGGGCTGAGAGGGTCCCCCAGGCGGGGCGAATGCCCCGGAGCTGGGCCATGTCTCCGGATCGTGGGGGGCCTCCGAGCAGAGGTTGGCAAGCGTATCTTATCAAGGCCCGGGGAGCAGACATTGAGGCCTCGTGGGCCATCCGGGCTCAGCTCTGCGGAAAGCAGCCATGGATACATGAACGAGTGGGCAGTGTCGTGTCCCCATAAAACTTGATTTACCAAAACAGGTACAGGCTGGGGTTGGCCCCGGGGGTAGAGTTTAGCAACCCCGGGTTTAGACAAAAGCCCTGGTTTGGCTTCAGTTTTGGAGTCTACACCTGGTTTAGAACTTAAGGTAATTGACTCCCTTCCTCTGGCCCTTAATTTCTTCCTCTGTAAAATGGGAATATTCATGCCATCTGCCTTAGAGGCTTGAGGCAAGGATCGAACAAGAGGATGGTGAAGTGCCTGTGGTCTTAAAAACGTGTTTTGAAAGATACTCCGTGTTAGTAGTTTCACAGAGGTGGAGAGGAGCGTGGGAGGTGCCAAGGGCCTGGGGCAGGGGAGTGGGGAGCTGGTATTGACTGGGCAGGGAGTCTCAGTCGGGGAAAATTAAAAAGTTGTGTGGTTGGACGGTGGTGATGGTTGCATGGCAGCACGAACGTAGTGGACGCCTCCTGTCTGGAGACTTAAAATTAGGGAAAGTGGCACATTTTCTGTCACATGTATCTCACCCCCAAAAAACCCCACCACTGTGGGAGGAAGAAAATTCCATGGGAACATAGTAAACTGCAAACGCAGGAGGCCTGGCCAGAAGCTCAGGTAGGGAGGGGCAGGGAGTGGAGCGGACCTGTCACTGGCTTTACACACGGGAGGGGCCTGCCCTTGCTCCTGGACTCAGCCTGGCTAACTCCCGGCTCAGGCACCGCGTGCTGTTGGCCTTGGCGTCTAGATCCGCAGACCTGGCCTTGGCCTCTGCTCTGCAGAAACTTTTTAGAACCTGCCCTTAAGGACAGGAAGACTTCTCTCCAGATGAGAGCTGCAGACACCACCTGTTAGAACCCATACTCCCTGGGGCTGCCCCCTTACCCTCCTTGAAGGGTCTGTGAACGAGGGATGGCCAGGTGTTGTCCTAGGTCTGGCTCAGCCTCTCAGAGAAATCTGTATTGTTCTTTGATTTGGAATGGTAGTTTGGACTGAAAGCTCTCCTCGCCCCCCCCCCCTTTTTTAACCACCCCGGGATGTTTAAAGACAAATACAACAGTGACCCCCCACTTTGGACAGGGGCCTCCTTGGAGCCCTGCCCCAGCCTTCTTCTTTAAAGCAGCCCCCCTGACAGGATGGGCGGGAGTGTGGGGAAGTGTCGGAGCAGGGATGAGGTGGGAGGGGCTCAGCTTGGCCAGGCTTGGCCCCTCCCCAGCTCCCACCCAGCACAGGGGACCATGAGCCTGGGGCTGACTGGCCCTCCCAGGGCCAGCAGGGAGGAAGGGCCTGCCCAGACTTGCTGTGCGCTGGGTGGGGGCTCTGCGAGGAGGCTGGCATCCGTTCGGAATGGAAACCCTGACTCATAGCAGGCGCAGCCCCCCATGCCCGTGGGGAGGAGCCGTTGGCAAGTGTCGGGGAGGCCCCCACCTCTCACTCTGTGGGGTGCGGATGGGGTGCGGAGCGTGCAGGGACAAGGTGGGAGAGTAGCGGGAGGGAGGGGACGGCCCCCTTCGTGTCCTCCCCTAGACGCGGGGAGAGCCTGGGGGAGTGCAGGAAAGCCCCGAAGGAGCCCCACCGGCCAGCACCTGGTGATTCAGAATGTTTGCAACCAACCATGAGGCACCCCTCGTCTCAACCTGGGGCAGCCTCCCTTTTCTTGGGCCCACCATCCTTGCAACCAGACTCAGGATTCTTTCTTTAAAAAATTTTCTTGATTTCAAAAGTTTTGTATATATATAAAATATGTATATATGTATAATCTTTATTTACAAAAATGCAAGCAAATCCCAAAGTGCAGAAAGGAAACATTTCTGTTTAGATCAGCAGAGTCTGTGTGCCTCTCCGAGCTCCCGCTCTCTGGAGGCTCTTTTTCTGATGCAAATGGGGCCAGAGTCAGCTGCCACATGCTCCCCGCCCCCACCCATTCCTTAACAATCGTATTTTGACATCATTTTACATCAGTACCTTTATGTCATTTAAAAAAAAAAAAACAAACGACTGGGTCATCCCAAATACTTCTGTACAAGGAGAGAGCGTGTCGGGATCCAATGCTAGTTTCAAGGCTGTCTGGAAGAGGCCGCTTCCCCTCCCCTGTGTGCACCCGGGTCTTCAGCTTGCACACCTCTGCCGACGGCACCCTCACTCCCTCCAGAACAGTGTGAGGTGGTGGGAAGCTCTGACCTCATGGGCAACCACATTCATCTTCCCGGGGAACCTGGAACCATCTGGTACCCCACAAGCCTGCCTGTTCCCCTCCGGCCACCGGCAGACAGCCCTGCAGCTGCATAGTACCAGCCTCATGAGCTATGGGGTCTCTGTTGTAGCTTGTGAAAACAGCTGTAGACAGTATGTAAGAGAATGGGCATGGCTGTGTTCCAATAAAGCTTTATTGACAAAAACAGGCAGTGGGCTGGATTTGGCCGGCAGGCTGCAGTTTGCTCACCCCTGATTTAAGGGCTGGGAGGCGGGGCTCCCTGATTATAGAGCTGAGTGGTCCCTGGGACCAGCCTCGTCCTGGGGGAGTTTCCTTGTTTATAAAACGCAGAGAATAATCCTGGCCCTGCCTAACTCGCAGGCCAACTGTGGCAGGCGAGGGCAGCAGGGACCTATGTGCTTTTGTAAACTGTTAAGTGCTACACTGGCTGGAGAGGCTGACTCAAGGGGGAGGGTGCGGCTGGTCAACCACAGTCTGAGGAGGTTGGGGTGAGGCCAGGAGGGGAGAAGTACAGCAGGTCCCTCTTTCCGACGTCAGCTCGGGTGTCTTCTACCATCACTCCCTTCTTTTTGTCCCCTAGATGCTTTGTAAGTATCTGAGAAGGGGATTCCTTTTTTTTTTTTTTTTTACGATTTTATTTATTTATTTGACAGAGATTACAAGTAGGCAGAGAGGCAGGCAGAGAGAGGGGGGTAGCAGGCTCCCTGCCAAGCAGAGAGCCTGATGTGGGGCTTGATCCCAGGACCCTGAGATCACGACCTGAGCCAAAGACAGAGGCTTAACCCACTGAGCCACCCAGGTGCCCTGAGAAGGCAATTCTTAAAAACCTTAGAATTCTCTCCCTAGTAAGAAGTTCAGCCTGCATGGCTTGTTGTTTGAGAGAGAGAACTGGAGTGAGGGGAAGGGTAGCGGGAGAGGGAGAGAGAATCTTAAGCCGACTCCACACTTGGCGTGGAGCCTGATGGGGGTGTGATCTCACGAACCTGAGATGGTGACCTGAGCCAAAATCAAGCGTTGAACACTTAAGCGGCTGAGCCACCCAGGTGCCCCTGCCTCTGTGATTTTGCACCAAAGGGGAGCTGGAGGACCGAGCGTTTATCCTTGTGCGTTTACTGGTTTGCACTCTCTGGGCGTGTGGGATTCAGAAGGGACATGGCCACTTGACAGTGGGAGGCCCCGAGAGCCAGGCAGGCAGCCTCAGATGCCGTGCAGGGAAAGACGGATGGGCTGAAGGTTCAGGGCCAGGGACACGGCCTAGGCATGTTGTCTTTGAGGTGGCATGTGCTGGCGAGATCTGGGAGCCAGCTGGGGGGCTGGTGTGTGGCTCAGGGTGAGCAGGCTTCATAGTACCTCTGGGTGAGGTTTTGCAGTGAGGAGGGGATGTGGTGGTGTTTTGGAGATCGGGTCGTTGGGTTTTTGGAGGCCCCCCGTGTTTAACCACCTTGGCTCTGTCTTCCCTGCTGTAGATATCAATGAGTGTTTAAGTATCAGTGCCCCGTGCCCTGTTGGGCAGACATGCATCAACACAGAGGGCTCCTACACATGCCAGAAGAATGTGCCCAACTGTGGCCGTGGTTACCATCTCAACGAGGAGGGAACCCGCTGTGTTGGTTGGTATTTAAAAAGAGAACCAGTCTGATATGAACTTTCCTATCTGCTCCCAGCACATCCCTTCCTTCCCTGGAAGGGGAGAAGAAATCCCCAAAGTGAAGCTGTTTCTACCTCTCCATCCATCCCACTGCTCAACTCCAAGCATAGACCTTTATCGATTGCTGGGACTGTTACAGTAGGATGCCAGCCTCCCACTGTGCCCAGCTTTGTCCATTTCAGTCTGTCCAGGGTGTCCTGAGCTGAAAGCTCCCTTGTTCCTCCCCACTCACAATCTCCAGTGGTGAGAGGGGACAGGCAGTGACCCTGCTTACAATTCAGTCCTCCTGAGGTGGCCCCAACTTCGCAAACCTTATAATTCAGATGAAATAGGTCTTGCTGCTCCCTAAGCCAGCTCTGCTCTTTCCTCTCTGTGTGGTTTTCTGCTTTTACACCTTTTCCTCTGCCCACCTGCTGCTACATTCCTTTGGACCCAGATCCCTGCTAGCTGGAAGGAGTCCTTCTCCCTCCGACTCCCAGAGCACTTCCCTGGTGGCTCCCCCGGGTCACTAGGTACTTCCTGCCTTTCCCAGGGCCATCACTGGCCAGCCAGAGTAGGTGGCCCCTGAGCGTAGGGGCTGCATCTGGGTCAGCTGCCTCCCCAGCACGGGGCCCAGCACGCAGCAGGTGTCCTGTGACATCGTGTTGAGGAATAAATAATGCTGCTTTGTCAACGTACATTTTAGTTTGCTGCTTTCTTGTCTTCCTTTCTGATCATCTTAGGGAGAGAAGAAAAACCCACACTAAACATTTTTCAACGCGTCATTCTCTTTCACCAGACGTGGATGAGTGTGCGGCCCCCGCCGAGCCCTGTGGGCCGGGGCACCTGTGCATGAACTCCCCCGGAAGCTTCCGTTGCGAGTGCAAGGCTGGATACTACTTCGACGGCATCAGCAGGACGTGTGTGGGTACGTGGGCGTCCCTGCAGGCCCCGGGTGGCCCCCTGAGAAAGTCCTGGTGCAGCAGCCCCAGAGAGCAGACCCCGCGATGGGGGACCCCCATTCAGGTTCCAGCCCTGCCGCTGCACTCCCAGGTGCGACCCAGGCCCCCACCCATACAGCAGGTGCTCTGCTCGACCCAAGGCGGGCAGGGGTGTAGGAGACTACAGCCGGCTCTCCAAATGTCCAGAAGCACGAGTGACTTCCCAGAGTCAGGGCTCACGGCGGAAGAATGAATGGTGGTATGGCTGTCTCCCTGCTGGGAACGGGACAGACCCCTGCAGGCCGCCACCTGCCACCCCAAAACCAGGCTGCTTCGGGGGAAGGGAGGGCTGGCAACTGCCCCACCCACCACCAGAGCCGCGTGTCTGAGCCAGCGGACCGTCCTTCAAGGCTCTGGGGTGGAGAACTGGCAGGTGGGCACGTCCACAGGAGGGCCAAGAGTGGCCCCCAGCACGCCCACTGACTCTTGGGGGCTTTGGGATCAGTCACTCTGCCTCTCTCCTCCAAGAGATGTGGCTGTGGACAGTGGGGACACTGGGAGTTCGTGGCCAGAGGTGACATGGGTGGGGGATGCTGCCCTGAGCCGGCCCCGTCCGCTCTGTTGCAGACATCAACGAGTGTCGGCGCTACCCCGGGCGTCTCTGCGGCCACAAGTGTGAGAACACGCCCGGCTCCTACTTCTGCAGCTGCACTGTGGGCTTCCGGCTCTCTGCCGACGGCCGGTCGTGTGAAGGTGAGGCCATGTGGCCGGGGGGGGGGCGCTCCGGGATGCCCGGTACCGGGGAGAGCCACTACTCAACCTGCAGACCCACGGGATGGCCTCGAGTTTGTTTCCCCAGCACGTGTTAGGTGACGCGCTGGTTGGGGAAGCGCCTGTCAAAGGTGGCTTGTCAGAGAGGACTGCTCACCCAGTCCCTCCTGGGCCCTGGAGCGCCTGGGGGCGTCCGCCCAGGGCCACGCACGGGGGTGGATAAGCCGAAGAAGCTGTGTGGGTTGTGGCCGAGAGTGTGGGATTTGGCGGCGTCTGACACACCCTGTGTTCACCTGACTGGGGGCAGTGGCCGATGTCACCTGCCCCTGTGCCCTAACAGGAGAAACGGGGTTGGGAGGTCAGATTTTCAAGTAAATTGGAAGACAGGTTTTACTCAGACTGTTGCAGTAGCAGAGAGAGACATCAGTGCAGATCCATCTCAGCTCTGCTGAAACAAAAGGCAACAGGCTTTTGAAATGCTGGGCCATGCTCAGGAGTCGTCCTACACGATGCTGGGTGGGGGGGTCAGCCTGCTTAGGCGGCTGCACCTGCTAACCAGCTCCTCCCTCCCACAGAGAATGGGAGACGGGGGCCTCCCCTTCCTGATGATCACGTCTCGAAGGCATGATTCCTGCATCCTGGAGAAAGACTCTTGGGTTGCAGAGGCTACATCTCGAAGGGACAGAGAGAGGGTTTGCATTTGCAAGTTTTATCAAGTAATTACTCGTAAGAAAGAGGAGGCCAGGACATGTTGTCAGGTGTTGGTCGGAATACTGAGTCTCTCCTTTGGGCATCACTGAGCTTTTTTTTTTTTTTTTTTTTAAGATTTTATTTATTTATTTATTTGACAGAGATCACAAGTAAGCAGGGAGGCAGGCAGAGAGAGAGAGGAAGGGAAGCAGGCTTCCCGCTGCACAGAGAGCCCGATGCGGGGCTCGATCCCAGGACCCTGGGATCATGACCTGAGCTGAAGGCAGAGGCTTAACCCACTGAGCCACCCAGGTGCCCCAGCACTGAGCTTTTTAGGAGGCATTTTAAGGCTCCAAGCCCGTCACCCTAGGCTTTCCTGTCTTGGTCCCGTAGAAGCTAGGCTGAAGTCTGGTCGGGTCTCTCCGTCCACCTGGTAGGGGTTGGACGGAGCTCTTTGTGCCGAGTGTTTCGGTTAGCACAGAACACCGGCCTCCTTGGGGCATGGACCAAGATGGTGGGTCATACATTCAGCACAGTAGGTGCTCAACAGCTATCACATCTTCTACGGGAATTAGGGTCTGGGGTCAGCAAAGGAAAGAGCTTTGGCAGCCCTCAGCGATCCTCTCCCACTGTCCCGCACAACTTTTGGGCCAACCACGGAAGGATCATGAAAGTCCACTATGCTCAGAGGCATCCAGGACGCACAGTTCTCAAACGGGAGGCTGGACAGTGAGATGGGTTCCTAGACCCTAGGGTCCCCACAAGAATTTCGGATCTGCCCCCAAGAACAGACCCAATGCATGGGTATCGGCAAGGAAACTGTTCACACGTGGGCTGGGTTCCCTTGAGCTTGGGTTCTAATTCTAGCTCTGCCATTTTATGGCCTTGAAGGAGTAAGGCCCATTTCTGGGCCCCAGCGTCCTCCTCTGCAAATGCGGGGGGTGGCGGGACCCACCTTACCGGGAGTCAGGGTGAAGCATGGGACGAGCTCATCCCAGGGCAGGGTCCCGCACGAGACAAAGTGCCATCTGTGGAGACCGCCGATGTCCTTGCTGCTATCGTTCATGGCTTATGCCATTCCTTGTCACTCCGAAGTGACCGGAGAGGAGATACTCACATCTACATTAGTGGCCACGCTGGGGACAGAAAACCAGGGCCTGGCCAGCTTGGCCGCATCATTCCACTAAGCATTTATAAAGGCCCCCTGGCAAGGTGGATAGCGAGAACGTGGTCTCTGCCTTCAAGGAGTGTCTGTAGGATGTGACAACAAACCCCAGGGGGCAGAGCTGAGCAGGCGACCTGGTGAGCAGGTGATAGCCAGGCTGGGCACGAGGTTACTGTAGGACAAAACATGGGGTGAGAAGCTAATGGACACTCTAAGCTGCTCACCCCTCCTGCCCTGCTAGGAGTCAGCAGTAAATACATGTGAGAAGGGACTTCTAGGCCAGGGGTTGGCATTTTTTTTCCCCTAAAAGCCACATAGTAAATCTTTCAGGCTCAGCCAGCTACGCTCTGTGTTGTAGCTTATCGCCTCTGCCTCTGCGTTGCAAAAGCAGCCACAGACTGGGTAAATGAGGGAGTGAGCGTAGCTATGTGCCAATAAAACTTGATTTACAAAACCGGGTGGTGGGCCGGGTGTGTGCTGATTTCTGCTTTAAGGGAAGGAGACAGAGCAGGAGCCCGGCGCTGCCCAGTGGGCTGGTGCGTGCCAAGCACTGGCGTGTTAGGAATGTTGGCATCTCGGCTCTACACCCAGGCCCCCTGCTCTGCGGAGGGCACTGTCTTGGGGTGCAGCGGGGAGGGCTGTGATCAGAGCTCCGTTTGAGGACTAGAACTGACCTGGCGGTAGGCTGGGGAGAACCCACTGGAAGGAGCCAAGACTGGAGGCTTTACTGTGGTCCCGATGAGAGGTTCCAGATCCGTCCGGCATGGGGGATGGAGTGGGGGCCGTGCTCCCTCAGGACAACCGCAGGTGGGTCCCCAGCCCCAAGCGCGAGTGCTGAACGCCACGGGACTTCTGGCCCTTCCTCTGGGGTGCCTTGAGGGAGCTGCTGCGTCTCCAGCCCCGCCCAGGAGCAGGGTGGGCGGCCAGCTCCAGGCACGGACCTGCGGTGCCCCGTGTCTTTCAGACGTGAACGAGTGCAGCAGCAGCCCTTGTAGCCAGGAGTGTGCCAACGTGTACGGCTCCTACCAGTGCTACTGCCGGCGAGGCTACCAGCTCAGTGACGTGGACGGCGTCACCTGCGAAGGTGGGGTCACCCCACTCGGCCGAGGGGAGGGGACTCCCAACCCCCTTGCGCTGAACGCCCTTCCGGGCTGGTGGGTGGTGGGGTCCTTTCCCCTCCAGCTGAGATTTATTTGCATACAAAGAAGCCATAGCGAGTGAGGAATAGAAAGCAGCGAACACGTAACCGGCGAGCGTCATGTGGGCCCGGACCTTGGAAATGCATGGCAGGAACCGCGTGTGGCCGGGCTTGGTGGTGACCCTGGGATACAGCGGGGGCCCAGGGGGCCACTCGCAGGCCTGACCCGAAGCTCTGCCTCCCCTTGGCCGGGGCCATGTGTCCTCTGCCCCCGAGAGCTGAGCCCAGACCTGCCAGGCTGTCAGAGGATTAAAGCGGAGGTCGGCCTGGAAGGGCTTTGCAGGGTGCCTGGTGCACCGCGGGCTCTCGAGGCAGCTGCTGTTAGGGCCCCCCCGGCGGCCCTATGAGCACATTTGTCCTCGGCATCAGCACGCCCCAGGGGCCTGCGGATCACCCGTCCTGTGTGCCGTCCCCCTCCCGGAGCCCCCAGTCTGCCACGCTTTCCACCACCACCTCGCTGTGTGACCCTAGGCCAGCCCCTTCCCCTCTCTGGGCCTCAGTTTCCCTTTCTGGCATGATAGTTTCTGAGGCCGCCCCCGCATCCGGAGGCTTCCTGTGTCCGGATGCCCCATCGCGGCCTGGCCGGAGCCCAGTCGGGATGCTGAGGGGTGTTTTCCGTCGCAGACATCGATGAATGTGCCCTACCCACCGGCGGCCACATCTGTTCCTATCGCTGCGTAAACATCGCTGGAAGCTTCCAGTGCAGCTGCCCGCCGTCTGGGTACAGGCTGGCCCCCAACGGCCGCAACTGCCAAGGTGAGCGTGCGGGACCCCTGGGGTGGCCCAGGCCGTGCGCAAGGCTCTGCAGTGCGGGGAGCTGAGTCCGGGCGGCCCCCCCCGCCCCATTGTGGGCATGTGTTTCCCTGGCCCAGGGGCGACACCGCAGATGGGGGCATCTGGGACAGGGACGGGAGGACTCTGCACACTACCCGGGTCTCCCGTACCTGGCACACTTGTCTTCAGGGGGTTCTGATCCTCCTGCTGGGCCCTCGACACCCCCAGGGGGCCAGAATGGGGGATGACAGCCTTTAGGAAGATGCTAGCCAAGGAGGAAAGGGGAGATCGGCGCCCAGAAGACCCCATTCCACAGCACAGGGCCACTCGTTCCAAATGGCATTTTTCCCACCCGATGAACCCTTGATGGGAGCCTGCCACGAGTTAAGGACAGAACGGGGAGCAGGTGCTGGAGGTTTCTGTCCCAAAGTGTTGATGGTGCCTGCCTGGGTGAGAGGACGGGCGTGTTCTGGTGTGTGCTCACCTGTCTCTGTAGTTCTGAGCACGATGGCCATGAGGGTCCTCCTGGGGCCAGGGTCGGCTCCAGTGTGGGCTAAATGAGGGGGCCAGTGACACGCATCTGTACTCGGCTCCTTGTCTAAGAGCACTCTAGGGGTCATCGTGAGCTCCGGAACTGAGCTCTTTGCCAACTGAGAGGGGATGCCGGGTGGATATGTGTGAAGGAAGGACCCTAGGAATGGGTCCAGGGACAGCCCCAGAAGCTGAGTCACAGAGCTTGGGTCTGTGGGCCCCTTCCTCAAGAGCCCCCCCCCTCCACGGGACTCTCAACCCAGAGGCTCCAGAGGCCCCATTTTCTGCCCTGTCAGCTCTGGTCATGAAGAATGTGACTTTGATCAAAGGCAGGCGGGAACTGCGGCCTTTCCTGGGAGGGACCCACTCAGCTCGCCCGCAGCTCTGGGTGGAAGTCTCTTTGTTTTCTCCTTTCTGGCGGAGGATATGACTTTCTTGCCTCTGGCCAGCCTCCCTCACCGCAGCCCGGGTGCTCCGCCAGGACCAGCAGAAGCACATTCCTGAACCTCCGTCTTTGACATTAGGAGTTGTTTTTGCCACCAACATCAGGCGCCTGGCCCCTCTTCACAGATGCCTCCCAGGCGTGGTGGCGTCCCCCGGACCCTGCCATGGGGCTGCTCCAGAGAGCTGTGGGAAGGGGACAGCTCCCTGCGTCCAGGGTCTTCTCAGGCCGGTGCCCCCAGCGTCACTGACCTCGGGCCCCGGGTGCAGCCTAGAATTCCCTTAAGCCCGGGTCGCCTCACCTGTGCTGTATGGGGCCCTTCCAGGCCTGCTCCTCTCCCCCTCACCCCAGGAACTGTGCATAATAAGTACAAACTATAAACACCGATACTCTGTGAGAGAAGGGGCTCTGGTGGGAGGCCTGGGCTCCCTGTCCGGGATGGCGAGGACGCGGGCAGCCTCCGCCTTCACCGGGCTGCCCTGGGGTCTCCCACAGACATTGATGAGTGTGTGACCGGCATCCACAACTGCTCCATCAACGAGACCTGCTTCAACATCCAGGGGGGGTTCCGCTGCCTGGCCTTCGAGTGCCCCAAGAACTACCGCCGCTCCGCAGACACGTAAGTCCCTCGGGGCCCTGGGGTGTGTCCGCGGCAGCCTTCCCGTGGGCCATGGCTCCTGGGCTGGGCGGGTACTTCACTGACTGTGCCCACCCCCCGCCATGGGAGCCCTGGGAAACCAGGGGGACCCCTGAGGCTCCAGCCCCCAAACGCCAGGAGAGTGCAGAGAGCCAGGGGAATGACTTCAAGGCAGGTAGGCCTACCCTGGCGGAGCCCAGGCCTGTGCTTTCCCCAGGCTGGGACCAGGGCAGGGGCATAGCTCGCAGGGCCTCAGCTTTCTCACAGACACGTCCTCTGACCCAGATGAAGGTAGTGCTGGTTCTGGGAAAGCTGAGATTGCTGGGGCATCCTCCATCCATGACCCCCCACTTCCTAAAAGCCAGATTCCATTCAGCCCAGTGACAGTGTGGGCCCAGCACGAAGGGTCTGTGTCCCAGACTTGAAGCTGTGTGTTCCCATGTCACTGGAAACTCCCTCCCTCCCAGGCCAGTGGGATGTGTGCTGGAATGTTCTAGAAACACCCTTCCTCAGGGCAGAGTGAGGACCCTCTGGTCTCCTTACACACCACCCTGCCCCTGGTTCGTTGGGTGCCCCGTCTGTAGTCTCAGGAAGAGCTGTCCACGGGGGACAGATTCGGGAGCACAGATGCGTGACTCCTCCCTCCAACCCCTGGAAATGCTCAAAGCCCTCACACGGCCAGGCTGACCATGACTCGGCCTTTCAACCTTGAGTCGGCGGCTCCCGCTGGAGGGTCAAGGCCTTCTTGGCTGGTGCACCCGGCCTCGGTGTCCACTTGCGCAGCCTTGAGGCGGCTGCCCTGGCTTGTGGTTCTGGCCCGGCCTCCAGCTCGCCGAGTGCCAGAACGGGAGATGCTCAGATAACCCGTCTCCCTGGCGGCCCTCTGGGCTCCTCCTGGGGTCTGCGCTCACCCTCTGGCCACCCACGTCTTCAGGCCTGCTGTGTTCCCCCAGCATGGGTATATTTGCCCTCCTGGAAATGCAGCCGCTCGCGCCCTCCCTGCACCCCCGTGAACTCCCAGCCCCTCCAGAGCTGGGTCTGCGAGTGTGCAGCCTTCCAGAGACCTCGTGGGTTACCCGGAGGTCCAGAGGGCAGCGAGGCCATTCCTCTGACTGCTAAGAAAGTTCTGTGTCCTCACTTCGAGGCTGGGCTGCCATTGTGTGTTTTAAGTGCCTGCTCTCCGGGGCCTTTGTCTGTGTCTGAGTTTGAGGACTCTGGAAGACCGGCTGGCGCAGGGCGTGGACTTCTCCTTCACACCCAGCCATGAAACCCAGAGGAGGCAGCTGCCCTGTGGGGATCTGTACGTCTCCCAAGCCACCGGCTGCCAGGTGGACGCTGTGTGTCAAGGTCGTGGTTGAAAGGGGCAGACCGGTCCCCTCACCGCCGCATGTTGGCGCGTACTGGGCAAAGTCATTTACTTGTTTGGGGACCATGGGCAGACAGCGGGCTGCAAAGCCTCCCACCCCTGAACCATGCCTACTAAGGGCACAAGACGGAACAGCAGTGGCCACAGAGTGTAGTGGGGTCCCCACGGGGCTGGAGTGGGGGGCAGGGCGTGCTGGAATAGGCGAGGCTAGAGTGAAGGGAGAGGGAAGAGCTGAGTCAGGCAGAGAGGGAAGGGGTGGTGGGTGGGATGGAAGAAGGGCCGTGGACAGGGGAGCAAAGGGGTTCCGGCTGTGAGATGGGGTGCTCAGCAGGGAACCTGGACCCGCGTTCCACTCACTGGGGTTTGATGCTCCAGGGCTCAGTCTGTCCTGGTCCATGGATTGATTCATCAGCCGGTGCCCGGGACGGATAACCAGGGGGCTCATCATTTTCCGTGAGAACAGAAAGTGGGCCCCCACCCACAACACAGGCGAGAAGGGAAGGAAGTCTTCCAGCCACACCCCCCAAAATGGCCAAGATTGACACATGTTCCTGCTCCCCAGCGCCACCCAGCGGTGCAGCAGAGGGGGAGGAGAAAGGAGCTGGGAGCCGAGTCTGGACCCGACTCCGGGACCACCAGCCCCGCTGAGTGCTCTCAAGCCCCGTGGGGATGCTGAGGCGTTCTAGAAAGATGCTGGCCTGGAGTCAGGTTCACGCATGTCTGCCTCCCAGCTCAGTCCATTCCAGGTCTGTTGAGCTTCTCGGAGCCGCCATACTCCAGTCGTCAAGGGGACGGTGATGTCCCCCCGTCCGGTTCGCATGGGATGAGCAGGGTTTGTGGGGCGGAGCCCCCTCATGAAGTTCACACTGGGTTCAGCCTGGTGGGGTGTGAGTAGTTACCCCAAAGGCGTATTTCACTGCCAGTGTTCATGGATGAAGGGAAGGTGGGTGAGGCCCCTGGTGTCCAGGTCCGGGCTTGGCCTGAGGGGCTGTGTGGAAATGGGAAGAACCCGGGCTGGGATTTTAAGCTTCCAAAATTGTTCTCCTGTTTGTCGGGGCTGTGGCCTCAGGTCAATGTCTTGGCCACCCAGGGGTCCTTTCTGCGTCTGCAACACCTGCTTGGCAAGACCTCGAGGATTAGCGAGGATTAGCGGTAATGAGCTCCAGGCATCCAGCCCAGTGCCACCCCAGTGCCCATGGTTAGAAAAAGTCGTGGGGAGGAGAACGATCACCAGACATCCCCGTTTCTCTACCTCGGGGGGCAGCAAGCCCGACGGGGAGGTTCTCTGCCGTTCTTGCTCTGTGGCTGACTGACCGTGTGACCAGCGGAGTTGCCCCACCCTCAGATGGGTGACTACGTGGGGGCTCTGAAGGGCTGGGTGGCCGGGGCCGCCACCCCTACACATGGGAGCCCATCTGGTTACACTCCTCTCCTTGGCTGATCCCGGTGAGGTATCATAGGCCAGCTAGGAGCCCATCGTAGGAAGCGGGGGCTGGGACCGGAATCCCAGGTTGAGTGGCCACAGGACGGGGCTTATCCTGGTTGCCCCCTCCCAGGAAGGGGGGTTAACGGAAACTCAGAGTTTAGTGTGAGCCTAGTGTCAGCCTCGGACAAGTTGTGAAGCTACACGGGCAGGAGGCTGGCCAGGGCTCCCAGCAAGGAGGGGCCGATCTTCTCAGCCCCACTAACGGCTCAGGCTGGAGTTTACCATTTTTATGGCTTCTTTTCCTCCTCATCAAAAGTCCCCTTAGAGAATTTATTATCTGACCTTCAGAAAGCAATTTGTAAAATTCAGAAGAGCTGCATTAGGAAAGACCCAGTAGCCAGCATTTCTGAGGTGAGCATTTCGGGTGCCTCGAGAGGGAAGATTGAAGGCGCTCATGTTCTCTCTCTTTCTCTTTCTGGGCCTCAGACTTCCTCTTTGTCTCCACACAGCCTCCTTCTGGGCAGTGTCCCTGGCAGCTGAGGGGTGGTAACTGGAGCATGACCCGGCAGGCCGGGCCACACAAACCACAGGGCTGGGCCTCTAGGATCATGTCGTTTGGTAAGATCCTGACCACACGATTCCCTCCGACCCATAGGAGGAACGTCCAAATGTTCTAGAGCCTGGGATGGGACTGAAAACATCCTCTTTATCCCCTCAGCAGGGCCGAGCCCTGACACTCGTGGTCTTGGAAGCCAGAGCAAGGCCGGGCAGCCCTGGTTGGCGTGGCTCTGGGCCCGAGGGTATATTGCGGGTGGACAGAGGGGCGAGTGTCCCACCTCAGCCTGTTCCTGGGGCCTCTCTCCAGAATGACAAGAGCGTGGAAGTCAGGGAAGTGCCGGCCGGGAAGGCTGTGAGCGTGAGACAGCCTGGGGGGGGGGGCCCGGTGCCCAAGCCTCCCAGGCGAAGGGGCTGGGCCTGGAGGACCTTCCTTCTCCGGTGTGTGCCAACTTTCAGTAGTTGTACTTTCTCAGATAATAGGGTGTTCTGATCCATCTGGTTGAATGAAAAAGTGGGGCACGTTGTTCTCTCGTACACGATGAGATGGAAACCAAGGCGTGCGGTCCCGGGAACTGGCCCTTCTCTGCGTGATGGCGGCCCCTCCTCGGCCCAGACATACCCACTAACGAAGGCTTTTGTGTCGGGCCCAATCAGGCAGGCAGTTTCCCAGATGCAGTAGTTAAGGACTTCTGTGATGTGTCAGTAAGTGCAGGGTAGAGCGGGGAAGGACCGTTGAGGTTGGAACTGACGGGGAAACGGGGGCCGTAGTTATTTGTGTCCGTTTACTGAGCACATACTAGTGTCCCGTGCTGGGTGTTGGAGATGAAGCCATAGAGTCATGGCCTGGCCCTTGGGAAAGGAGAGCTCTAGAAAGGGCCAGTCTCAGATCGCCTTGTTAGACACAGTGCTGGGGCACTCTGGCTTTGGGGTCAGGGGAGCCCCTGGAAGAGTGTCACATTCTCTGGTGCACGAGGCCTGCGGGAGCTGTACCAGAGCGTCACGCTTACTGCACGATCCCCCCCACACATGCTGGGCTAACGCTTGCATCTGGCCAATCAAAACCCTGTCCTTGGACAGGGTACAGGCCACACAGATGTGGGCCCGCCTAAGTCCCATGAAGGAGACTCTAGTGCCACCTGCTGGCCAGACCCACCAGGCCCTTCCTGAAATAGCCGGTGAGTGCGTGTTTGCGCATGCGCGCCTGAAGGCTTTCCAGGGAGCGCGATGTTGTGTCCCCCGCTTACTCCAGCGTGGAGTCAAGGACGTGTCCTCGCTGAGCTTTGACCGTCCCATCAGTAGAACAGGAAGACAAAGTGGGACAGCGACGTGAGTACACAAAGGAGAAACCCAGCCCAATGCCAGGCGCCGTCCCTTAGGGTCTCCCAGGTCACCCGGAACACTCCCATTTGGCCTGGACTAGGTGTGCCTGGGGTTAGGCCGCCCCTCAAAGCACCCTCTTCTGCGTACCTTCTTTACTGTCTCTCCCCTCTGTCTCTGGGCCCCCCGTGCCTGACTTGTCGCCTACCATGGGGGGCCATCCCCCAGGGAGGCTCATGGAGCTCACTCCAGGGCTGTCCTTTCTAAGTGCTCAGAATGGCAAGTGGCCAAGTAAGTGAAATGATTTCCTAATAG